ACATGCACGAACAAGGCGTTGTTCATAGAGATTTAAAAGTTAGTTTTATGACTTCGGATAACGCCTCAGTTGCTCTAAATAGGTACCTCATTGTTTCAGCCCGAAAACCTACTGTATTATAGCCCAGATGAAGATTCAAAAATAATGATTAGCGACTTTGGCTTATCGAAGATGGAAGAGTCTGGAATAATGGCAACTGCTTGTGGTACACCAGGATACGTAGGTAATGCAACAATAGCGACTGAAAATTCTAGAGTTTTGTAAATGTTCTTTTTAGCGCCTGAAGTGCTTGCACAAAAGCCTTATGGAAAAGCGGTTGATGTATGGTCTATAGGAGTAATTTCTTATATTCTTCTCTGCGGTTATCCGCCGTTCTATGATGAAAACGACGCAAACTTGTTTGCCCAAATCTTAAAAGGTCAATACTTCAATTCCGTTGCTGAAAGCAATATTTATTTTTTCTGATTAATCTGATTGTTTCAGGTGAGTATGAATTCCATTCTCCTTACTGGGACGACATCAGTGATTCAGCTAAAGAATTCATCTCCCGCCTAATGACTGTGCATGTAGATCAAAGATTCACATGTAAGCAGGCATTAGCTCATCCTTGGTAAGTCATGAAAACATCCAAGTATTTATATTAATACTGCTTTTAGGATTTCAGGAAATGCTGCTGCTACTAAGAACATTCATGGTACTGTTTCGGAGCAGTTAAAGAAAAATTTTGCAAAATCCAGGTGGAAGGTAAGTAGTTTATGTTCTGTCATTCAAAGCAACATACATGTTTATAGATGCTTGATCTTAGTGAGATTTATTTATGCAGGTTTGGCGTAATTTGTTTGTAATATTTCAACTTATTTCCCAGAAAAGTTCATTTATTATTAACAAGAACGTACGACACATTTTGGCATGCAGTTGGAATAGGTTGAAAAACTTTATTTTTTTATTTGATGTTTTTTCAGCAAACTTCAATATATGATACAAGCGGTTTTCCTCTCTAACAGCCGTTGCATGCAGGGTGACGATTTTAGGCAATCGGCAATTCACAAATTTCCCGGGAGTGCTCACGTAGACGCATAAAATAAGGTCCCAGATCTCAATCCGATATGCTACAGTGTGTGTTATATTTGCGTGGTCTATGTGTGGCCTGGCCTGGCTTGTAGGGCGACCATTCCGCCGACGAGGTGAAATCCGGAAAATGGGTCCGGCATTACAAGGCGTTTGGGCCGGAGCGGAATCCTGTTGGAACGTTCCATCCGCATCATCAAAGTGCTGCTGGTCCCACGGAAGTACGACGTCCTTGATTGACGTTGATTTTCACCCTCTGTTCCATGAAAACGAAGGGGTGTTGTTCCAGACGCAATTTCCAGCGGAAACCATAACGGCCGTTATTTTGCTATGTTCGTCGATGGCCAATGTGCCGCGAGCCTCCGCAGACCAGCTCCTATCGTTCTGGTGATTGTGGGCTTGTTCAACGGTGGACAGCTTCTCATCCGTGAAGAGGATTTTCTCCCACTGAAGGGGAGCGTGGCGACGAAGAAGACGTTTGCATCTTTCAAACCGTACGCGCTTGTTGTCGTCGGTGACGAGCTGAACTTTTTGGAGCTTGTAGGCCTTGAGATGGAGATCCTCTCTGGCTATTTGGCGGATTGATTCCATGGTGACCAACCTGAGAAATCGCAATGTCGCCAAAAAAAAATAGATTTAAAAATCGCCGGTTTTGGCGCCAAGTAAATTGAAACGAGATAAACCAATAAAAACAAAGCGGAACGGTTTAAATCAAGCAAGAACTTTAGTTTTTTTAACAAGTTGAATTGAAATTATATATGTTTACTTGTGTGTCTAAAATATATTAATGAGAAATTGTCGCCAGCATAAGCCAATTTGGCGATAAATTACCACACCTGGTCACCCTGATTTATTCCCGATTTATATCAGTCTCACGCGCGATTTTTCTCATGGAGACCCTCGGATTTCGACTGAAACGTTGTCGGACGAGCTCCCGATTCTTGACGGTTCTGACGGTGCGCTTTCTGCCGCTTTCTGGGCGGCGACCAGTATGGTCAAGCTCTTCAAACCTCTTGAGCGTTCGTCGGACGTTAGATTTGTCGATGCCGAACGTTCGCGCAATATCAATCAGACGCTTTTTCAATTCATGTAATGCCAACATTTTTTCTCTTTGGTTTGACATCTTCATAAAGTAGCTTAAAAATGTCGAATAAAATTGAAACAGTACATATATGTAGTATTTTTAACGGAGAATCGAATAAGAACATTAAAACCTTAAGAACTTAAAAAGTTTCAGTAAAAACTTAATAAATATTCATGTCACATTCGTAACAATTTCGTTGCCATTTTTTTGTCACCCGGTATTTTTTCGAGGTTTTCGTTCCGGTTTTCCTATTGAGGACTATAATAGATAGATACTATTGAGACACTACCAAGGTGACTAAAAGTGTAGTTAAAGATACCTTTATGTTAAATTGGTCTGATATTAACTACTTCCAACTGATGAGTTAACGGGCATTTTTTTCGGTTGATCTTTTTCAGGCATTTCAAAATGTGGTATGCATGTTTTCGATTAAATCTAATGAAAATTCCCTAAAACATTTCAACTTTTCTGATCATATTCTTATCAAATAGTGGCCGATCTTCTCTGCTCGTAATTTCTGTTTCCGAATTTCTTATTGAAATCAAAGAGTTTTTCATTTATCAAAAATGTGTCAGAAATTCCTCTATTATTAATTAATCGGCAAATAGCTAGCTAATACGATATTACATGTTTTAGTTATCCTTAGAGATCGAGCCTTGGTTTTGATGCAAATCCTGAAAGTAATGTTTTATTTGGCCATGTGATGTATTCGTCAATATTCGAATATTATAGGTCGGAATCATACTCCTTGACATGTCGCCTGTAGTTAACCATCTTTGGAGCGAACATTTATTGGTCGGGTGACTAAAACACGTATCTTCAGCATTATATACCATAAACACCTTTTTCGTATCTTAACGCCAGGTGCTACCTAAATTCGGTAACTAGTTATAACGCACTTGCCTTTTAAACATTGAACCAATGATTAAGTTATGGCTTCAGATTTTTTTAGCTGAGATTTGTTGTAAATTTTAATCCTATTAATTTACTGCATGAATTTCGTTTAGAGGTCTTTCTGCTTTTCTTCTCTCTTGTCCACTTTTATTTTACTTCTTTACGAATTTTGTCTTTGTACGTTTTTTAGTTCTCACAATATCAGTAAGGTTTTACCTCATTATTCTGCAAACCCTATGCAAAATAAATCAAATTAAATGAACACTGTATGCAACCAATCAAAAAAATATTCTCCTCATATTCCGTTTTAACGGTCTCATTATTCCTAACAAATGCAATCATTTCTTCATGCACAGGTACGTCACTCTTCTATATTAAATTATGTGGAGCTGACGTGCTTCCTACCGATAATAAGTATTTATATATATCTATCTATCTATAATAATATTCTCCGCCTATCAAATATAAATAAGTTTTAACAATACTGATTGCATGTATGTGAAAACCTTGGGGGCTGATATGTACGGCAAATTGAAAAATAACTGACGAAAAATAAGACGACCCCACTTCATTTATAATAAACACATTAATTATTTTATGCAGGTTGTTTTTAAAAACATGTCAATTAAAAAATAATCGCAAAACCGTAGCCATTATTTTCATTTTAGAGTCCAAACTGCTTGTGTAGCGAAAAAATACAAGTAATGTTCCTTATATAGAAGAAAGCAGGGCATTTTACAGGGGCGTGCATTTTACAGTGGTCCATGGAAACAGGGGAAGCACTACTTCCCCTAGCATTCCTTAGAAGTCGACCAACCGAAAGTTTTAAGAAATTGCCTGATTATTTTATTTTATTCATTTTGTAATAAACCGTAACATTCTAACTGAAAGGGTCGAACCTCCATAACAAATGAGGCATTGGCAAAACGCGTACAAATCTTTAGGGTAGTAATAAGCAGCATACGCAGTTACATACAAGAAGCAAGAAAGATGCTGTTTTTAATAAAAATGGCTGGAAAATTTTCATTCAATGAGCAAGTTGATATCCTATTAGTATTGGGGCAAATCATTTTATCACAAAGACCGTACGTTTCGTCGTTCATCATACGGCAATCTTTTTTTGGAAAAGGTCAGTGTTAAATTTTTGAGCCCGTTTTTTTTTAGTTTCTTTCTTGCGTTCTTCTGTTTTGTTTTCTCTGGTGTCGTCTGAACTTTATAAGTCTTGAAGCCCATCTTGGTTTTGATTCGACGTACGCTGCTCTCACGCCAATATACTTTATTGTCCATTTTCCGATTGGATAACTTAGGATTTTTCTCCAATTTCTCGACAACTTTTTTTCACTGTCTGTCGGCGTGTAAATCCGCTTTTCCTACCCGAACTCAGTTTTCGGTTCACATTTAAAGTTTGCTTGAACAGCTTGATAAGGTTGGATACGGTCGTTCTAAGTTGCCATTTTTCGGTGGGTACACGATGAATTTTCTTAAAAATTTCGAATTACTAATTCACGCACTTCTAATTCCGCTATTATTTCTCTACTAAAATATATGTACAGTTCGACGCTTAATACGTCAAAATTATTTAGATGTTGTAAGGAAGATGATTCACATGATCCACACACACCTCCTATGATTCGCATTTTGTTTTTTTGATTTTGTGAAGAGTTAGAACGATTTTTTATTGTTTCCGACTTAGTCCTTACTTAGATTGTAGGCAGTGGCTCTGGTACTACTGTAAGTAGTAGTCGTAAGTAAAATGTATTTAAACATTGGTTCCCTTCTTTCAAATTTCACCGCACGCCAATGGAAACCCAAAAAAATTGTTGGACAAAAAACAAAAAGCAAACTTCTTTAATGCAAAAGGTGCGTCTTTCGTAGCTATTAATCCCAGGTAAATTTCGTTAAAACAATTTCTTGTGTTTAGCAGCAGTTTATTATTTTGCGTTTGATAAGTTAAATTTCAACTCCTGCAAATTCTTAATGGGGCATTTTTGGACTATCGTTTTTATAGCATGCTGGCAGAGCTGGGCAAATTACTTTGAAAAAGTGTTTAAATACAATTACCAAATACTGTCAACATTAAAAAAGTAATTAACTACTAATTATTAATTAGAATATGCCGGTAATTGGTTAACAAATACTTTTAGTAAAGTATTTAAGAACACACACTTAGTTTGAGTTAGCTAGTTACTTAGTAATTAGTATTTAACTTCTCAACTGCCGTATAGTACAGCAACATCACTGATAAATCATATATGTACTATATTTACCAAACTACAAAAAAATATATGTTTTTAAACATTTAATATCATTCAGAAACAATACATACTTAATAATATTTACAAAAAAAACAGAATACGTAGCATATGAACTTATGAAATAGGATAACAATCAGACAAAAACTAAAAGAAAAGGTTAAAATGTATTATTTAATACCAATTACCATTAGCTTTTAATAGCCCTAGGTTTTCAAAGTTTTTGTCTGATAGTGCATGGCGGCTAAGAGTATTTATAAAAGTGGCATAAGAAAATATTCTCTTAACTGGTGCTGAGGAAGGTAAAGTGGTATTATACCACTTTCTTAAAAATACCACTTTCACTAGAGGATATTTGTCCAGCTCAAATCTGGGATCTTGCAGTTATTGCAAAGCTGGCAATTCACTAAGCCGATTTGAATCATAATCATTGGCTGATGTACCCAATTCTTTGTCATCAAACTCAAAGAAGTTCATGTTGAATGAAGAACTCTTCTTATCCAGTTCTGGAAGAGGCGTTTTTCGACTTTCAGCTGTCTCATTAATTGCCTTTACAATTTTTTTTTTAAATCATCTTTTAGCATTTGTATTTTTTTCTTCCATATTCCATATTAAATTTACCTATTTTAGTTTAAATCTGGGATGGGTTATAGATGCAATAAGTGCATCTGTCGTGTCAGGATGTAAAACCAAAAATTTCTCGAATCTTCTGGACACACACTATGAGGCATTTACAACGGAGTTCCAGAATCTAAATTTTTCGGTTTTTAGATTGACCAACTTAGATTTCATGCTGGCAATCGTAGGATTAACTAATCCAAAGTAATTGTTTTTTTAACGTTGTAATATATCAATTGCTGATGCAATTAGCTCTAAAATTTTTAGATATTCCGATAAATAATCAAAGTCAATCTCGTTTTAGACGTTAGTCCTTATTTCTAATTTGCCATAGAGAATTGTAATTTTGTCTTTAACTTTCAAAATTTGTTTTACCGAATCATACTGGGAATTCCATCTGGTTGCCGCTGGGTAGCTTAAATAATGACCCAGAACATCTTTTATTATTTCAGCTGATTTTGGTCGTCCTGCTTTATTCCGTAGTTGGGAACATTTATTAAGAACCAGAGCGTGCTTTGATCTGAGTGATGGAGTTTGGTTTATGAGTTTCATAAAGTCTGTTGTTCCTATAAGATTACACGAATGCGTTACGCTACGATGATGTTTAGGCAAATTAATTTGGGATTTTACAACTTTTTTCTCACAGCTTTCCATTATTAGTTCTGTGTGCGAAAAATGATCATCAGGATAAGCCATTGTACTATCAAAATCCGCACATGACCCGTCTGCATCTACCTCAATCTAATTATCGCCAAGTGAGTTAATGAGAACTGCTGGTAACACTCCAAAATCTTGAAAAGCCTTCACAGGTTGGATGCGTTATTGCGTGGATGCGGGGGGCATTTATGAAAGTATTTACACAAAATTTTCAAATACTACTTACTAATTACTTATAGAAAGTAATTGACGGTTCAATTATAAATACCATTCTTAAAAAAGTAAAATACATGGTATTTAACTACCAAAAAGTATTTAAATACCAAAAAGTAATTTAATTCCTAACTACTTGCCCAGCTCTGCATGCTGGCCAATTTTTACACGTAGAATATGAGGTTAAAATAAGGCTCTTTCGTCATAAACACCTTGTTTAGAAAATCAAATGTATATTTTTGTACTTTTTAAAATGCATAAGTACTAATACTGTGTTTCTGGTATTTAGCAAGCTTACCACGCAACCACTGTAATACAAAAAATGAAGAAAATGGCCCTCACAAATAATAGCAACCGAAGTCCAACGCTACAAAGGTGTATTTCCGAAGCTGATAATGGGGCCTGTGGATGCGCCGATAGAAGTTAAAAGACGTCGTCTTTAAAATTAAAGCTTTCATCCTAACATCCAACAAACAATCTCGATTAGAATCGCTCTCTTTTTGCGAAATTAATTTTGGTTCCTGTTGAGTGGAAACTCGAATAAAACTAGGAAAAGTGAGGATTTTTGTAACTTAATAGGTCTTCCCTAATTAATTTCCACTTTTGTGCAAAAATTACTTAATTACTTAAAATGTTCAATCTTTTCCAAAAATACGTTTTGTATAATATTTGTTAAAGTTGTTTTAACCTGTAAGTAGTTGGGGCTGCTTATTGCCTACTTGGGTTTGAATGTACAAAGTTTTATATATTTTTTGATGTACACAGTATAAAGCCGTTTTGTTTGAATTAAAAGGGGATTTTACTAGCACTACAAATCCGCTGTCACTAGGATTTTTTCCACTTACGAATTGTAAAATTGTGGTCACTTCACTGTGATATAAAACTTCTTTTCGCAGCCGGTGAAAGTTACTTAAATTCCGCATACATTACAAAGACCATACACTAGTAAAACATTGAAAACGCGCATTTATCGAAATTGTTTCTAACAAGCAATTGAAATATGTTGATATGAAACGAGTTTCGGGTATATCTAAAACAGTACTTCCAGAATTCTAATATCAACTCACTTTTTTTGATTCGCATCAAAAATACTGTGTACCGTTTTATATATGACCCATTTATGTTAAGGAGAATTGAAAAGTTTAAAAACGTGTTGAGATGTTTCAAAGTTTAAAAGGTCGTTCTCTCTGTTATGTATATTTATAGACTTAGAATTAGTGAAAGTATACTTAATTTCTTAATGTTGCTTCATGTAGTGAATGTTGTGATAGTGTTGCAAAGTTTGCCAGTAGCAAAGTTTGGAATCTCAGTTCTGTTTACTCTAGTATGTTGAATCTCAAAAATATTGATATTTCATTACTTATGGCAGCTTGCAACACTGCTTATCATGATACAATTTTTCATGACAATCATTATAAGTATGCCTCGTCTAACATTTTCCAGAACAGAAAACATCCTGTTTGATATTGTTTACTTGAATGTGATGTTCATTGCAATAACAGCAACTCCCTCTACGAGCTTTTATACAGTGTTTCAATACTAGAATTAGATTACTGAATACTTATGGTTCTACAGAGTTCATTTGCCTTACCTTCAACAAAGTGATCAATGTTCTCACACTGCATTTAACTAATGTGATCGAATTCGAATCTTTTGTCTAACTTTTAGTTTTTAGATTTAACAAACTATAAATATAATTATACTTACCCATCATTAATATTAGCGTTTATTTAGTAGCTTTTTAGCATCTACAGATTGTTTTTATTGGGGTTTTTCTATTGCGTATAATTTTTTTAAATACAGAAATAAAATAGTTGTTCCTTGTCAACGTTATATTCAATAATGATAGGATGTAAAAAGGGTGAGTAGTTTAATGATGAGTTTATACACGAGAATAAGGAATAAGGTTGAAGGCGTATTTCAAAAGTTTGTTACGCATCAGTCCATAGAGGTGTTTACAAACCGAATAGTGCCCAACGCTTAAGAAATTAGCGCGTTTAACTTTAATCCGCCAAGTCCGAGAATTTATGGTTTTCCAAGAAGGCAACTAACTTGGTTCAATTATTTTGATACACTAGACGAAGTTTTTATACTCTTTCGGTTAACAAATCCAGTCGTTTTTAGATTGTTAGAAGAAATTGGCCAACTTCTAGATTATCCCAGTAGCATATAAATAACAATCCAAATAATTCGTTTATTTTATGAGTAGCAAAATAACGTGCGAAATTATTCGTGTTAAAAACAATTGTAATTATTATTATTAGTTATTTTTCACAGAAATAACAATTTATCCCTTATAAACAAAACTTTAAAATCTCTTCGTTTTTATGCTTGTATGCTCATTAAAAGTGTACCGCAGATTTTATGGGAATTCATCAAACAACTGTATCTAAAGCTTTTAAGAAAGAATCTAATTCAATTGCAAATTTAAGGACAAAATACATTAAAATGCCTTCAAATGAAAATATTTATCGCACTCAAAATGGTTTAGTCCAAATTGCTCGCTTTCCAAGAGTTATTAGAGCGTGCTCTATTTTGTGATGTGTAAAATGAAGTATTTTGAAATCGAAAGTCGTATTTTTCAATTAAAACTTAACGCGTTAAAAAGTATGGACACTGCTTCTGATTGGCTTTGCACTACACACGATTCAACAATTTGGAATAGGTAGTTGCAGATTGAAGGCTACATTAGAAAACTGCGAATTTAGTAATAGTGTTTTGCTTGGTCACTAGAGAACTTATACAACTGAATATTAATTCAAGTCAAGTTAGGGTATGTTTACTTTTATAAAATCGTTTCGGGATTAAAGTCGCTTTAATTTTGTTCACGTTTGTAATTTAATATGCAAGGAAGTTCTGCCGGTCTTCTTCGCTTCAATAACAAATTTAGATATTTCGGCAATGAGACTGCTTTCCTTTTTCCATGATACCACGGTTTTTAACTACGTACGAGTATAACAATAACAACTCGCAACATACATTATCCAACTTTAGTCAGACACAAAATGTTCTGTTCTGTTAACTTTAAATTTGGCAATTATCGAAAATAATTATATATTTTTACGGTTGCCATATCCGTACAAGGTTCTACTAATCCACCGCTTAATTTCAACGGTTTATAGCAGCTGTGTTCTTAAACCAGATTAGTTCTTAGACGCGTTTAGTTAATCGGGATTAAGGGGGTTGACCGTGCATAGTTCCATAAACCAAAAAGATCTATAACTTCTTCAGTGGACCAATAACCAATAATTTTAGTGTACCAATTTTATATGAAATAAGCTTTTATTGTCATGTCACCGCGATAATGTTGACATAAACATACACACACACATACACATTGTTGATTCGCTGTACATAAAATAGTATTGTTCCTTATTCTGCTTTATAATCACTTCAAGTGGCGTTATACCTAAAGTGTTTTTCGTATGCCTTAAGTCTTATCCTTATTCTCGTGTATAAACCCACCATAAATGGTTGTGCATTAATCTAGATCTTAAACCACCACCAATTAAAACGCCACCCTTTTCGTAACTATAAATAACCCTTTGCATTTATTGCCGCTTAATCATCACTGTTCATAAAACTTACAAATTATTAGCTACTCAATATGTAAAATTAGACATTTAAATTAATGCAGATATTAACTTCGTAGGCTTGTTTATAGCAAACCTGCGGTGCCAACTGAATTAAATGAAAAACACATTCATAATGATCAGCTAACAATTGGTACCTACCCGTATTGTTCCACATACAACATACATATTTATAATACTATATAACTTGGTACTAATCATTATTAGTACCAAGTTATTTTTATATACACAATTTTGAAGCACGACATTGCATGAAAAAATATTTTACATGTTTTTATGTAAATGTGATACAGGAATAAAATTTGTTGTAAGTATAAGACGTGGAGTTTTGGGGTGGGCAACGAAAAAAAAAACTGTTTTAAATTAGAACTTTGAGCTTTATTTCAATAGGGGTACAAACAAGTTAAAAACTTCCCTGTTTATATAAAAATAAAAAAATTAATAATACTTATATAACACAATTAAGCAAATGAGTTTAAATACTCACCAAAGTTTTTGGCCACAATAATTTAAATTGAAATATTGCTTTTCAATCATATTTCACAATACTAAACGGTTTTCTTATAGTACACGGCGTATTGCCAAAAACTTATTAATAACAATAATACAAAACAAACATTGAACATATTTTTGGAACATTAATTTAAGTTGAATAAATTTTTGGAAGACTTAAACTAATGTCACATTCGGCGGCGAAAGAAAATGGTTGATCGATTTTTGTCTAGAAGCTGTAAATACATTTGATATTTTTAAATTTCTTTTCCTTCCAAAGATCTAACATGTAACAGATATGACAAACCGCCCACGACTGCAAATCCACTTTTTTTTAACTAAATACTGTAGATATTGTAGAAAAATATATCGACTAGGAATAGTCTGTATATTACTACTGGCTTTTAGGAACTTGTGGATGATTAAGAATAACAAATACTAGTTAAAGACGTATAACAGTAAATAAAATCTTTCTGAGTAGCTGCTAAATACTTTCAGAAATTAACACAAAATTTTAAATGCTGTGTGCTGAATTTTTGGCGGGTAACTGATCAATGTGGAATAGTGCAAACATAATTATGCCAGATTGAGTCCGGTTCAACTGTGATGAGTTATCGGAAGGGTAACATAATTTTGATCCTATTGACGGCTTATTGGAATATTAATCAATAACTGAAAAATATTTATGATTTTTGTTAGATCACCTGATTTTTTCCTGCAAAACAGTACGTACTTTTTTAGCTGAGATTAATCACAAATATTTCAGTTGTTGATTAAAAATATTGCTCGGCTCTAGCAGTTATTAAAACTAATCAGTCGATTGAAAACAAATATAAATAATATTAAAATTTGGTAATTCGATGGTTGTTCTGGGTAATTCAGGCTAGTTGGCTAAACAGCGACAATCTGACCCGTAAGAAATTTAACCGGTCTTATCAGTTTCATTATTTTCAGCAGAATTGCCGTTTGATTCCGAAACGGGTAGCGTTTCAATGCTACCATTGTCGCCATCGGCATCGCCGCCCGTAATTGCTTTTGGCATACTCAGATATCGTGACCAGTCGCTCCATACTGGAATACAAGAGACCACTTCTTCCACTAAGGATTTCTTTGGAGGTCCAAAAGTTTCGTTTTTAACGGTTTTCTGGTAACACGAAGAGAAGATGGTCCGAACTTTTTGTAATCGTTGAACTCTTCTATAAAATATATAATTTGTATATATAGCATAACTACTACTTAAAGTCACTAAAAATTTAGTAACAGTAATTCAATACGAACTATAAATTGTAAAATTTTGCACATTTAAAAACTAGACGACTCGATTCGCTGCGATTCCAATTAAATACAGGCCACTGGGTTGAAGTAATAAACATTTTATTGTCAATTGGCTCCTAAACGAAGAGGTTTTTAGAGTCATGTGAAGATCACATGTTTTGTCTAGTATTTACTAGAGTTGAGCAACAAATTATTACCTGTAATTTTTTCACAACGATTAATAAATCGCAATGACAATCTGTGACGAACGTAAAAATAAACTGTGATCTAAAAGGTGATTGACCCAAACGTGATATTAAAGAGCGACTTATGGTTTCACTGCTAACGCTACTATTGCCAGTCGCGTGTAGTATCACATGTTGCACATGTGGCCTGGCGACAGAACGAACCCAAATAAAATTCTTTTGTTAATGAAAGCTTGCATTCACGGGTTCCCGTGTGCCTGAATTATATTAATTTTTTTAGATAATTTCAACGAATAGAAGAAAGCGCCTTAGCGCCACCAAAACCAGAATGCTAGTATATTTCAAGAAGAACGAATGGGCTGGAGACAGTTATCATAGAGGGAAAGACCAATGGTAAACGACCGAGAGGATGACCTCCGACGCGGCTGGGTAGATGGAATTTTGCATGGAAATCATTGCACACGGACTGCAGGAAGCTTCTCTTGCAGGTCAGGATAGAGAAATATTATATCAGTAAATAACGTTTTTATTGATAGCATTTGATTCAATTTCATTTTTTGTTCATCCTTTACGTTATTTTATACTGGTATAAGTGGTGTTCACTATTGACATAAAAATGATATGTCCATTACTGGGATATCCGCACTGGATCCGTGTTTCTTATTTTTTTTCGTAAAAATTTAAGCTTAAAACTTAAGGTTATGCACTACCATGCTCAACATATTTTTAGTAGCGTTTTCTAGACTGAATTTCTCGGTATTGACCAATAAAATTCAGTAATTGCTGTGAATGTGACTTAGGCAACAATGTTTTCGAAACGCAAATATTAATACTTGAAATGTGAAGTTTCTGTTAAAATATTCAAGGGCTACTTACAGAGGTTTGGAAGAGTATTCTTTTTCCACGCTGCCAGTATCGCCGATTATTTCCAAACTTCCAGTGCTTTCAGTGCGACGTCTTCCACCGGCTGGCGGAGTTCGTATTTGGCTTGGACTTGTTGGAGATGGCGTCTTGCCACAGCTGTAAAAACCCTTACTTTAGCACTCAAATTAACAATAAATTCAAGTTTGATGTACTTCATATCCTCGGAGTCACTATCATTCCGAAGAGGGTCCGTAATTTCTGCAGTAATCCTTTTATTAAAATAGAAAGGAAAAAATCAGTTAAAGTAGAAAAACAATAAACAGTATTTATTATGCCATCAAAGAATCTTAATTTTCATACCTTTCGTCTGAGGTATCAGAAGCGTTGGAATCCGTAGAAGTTTCGTGGGCATCTAATGGTGCTTCTGGATCAGTTGAGGAAGAGCGGCTACCCTGCACTGGTCTGAAATGTTCATGTATGAAAGAAACATCTAGTTCGCCAAAGTAAATCCTTAGTAAAACAAAATTTACTTACGCATCACCTTCTTCAGCGGTCAGTTCCGATCTGCTCTCACCCGAACATCTTCTTCTGCAAATAATAACACCTTAAATCTTTGAAGCTCCATTTTCTCTTAGATAGAAACATTACATTGCAGAGTACTTGATATCACCTAAATGACGTAGAAAATCGAAGCAGAATGCCATAATTTCCTCGGTTTTATAGAGCCGGTTCGACAAGTGATGACCAAAAAGATACCAGTCATAAGCCAAAGTAAAATAAAGAATTTCATGTGCATTCAAACTACGATGGATTAAACCGTCTGCCCAGAGACTTAGGCGTATTAAGCTTATGAATAAGGGGGTTCTATCCCATCCACTGATACAGTGAAGAAGGAGACCAGAAGAATCCTCCTGTTGAAATAAAACGCAATTAGCATGAAGTTTTTCAAAGATTTTTCAATAAATGATCCAACCTCTAAGCGATTCAAAATGTACTTCATATAGTTCTTCGTAATGCGAATCAAATCCCACTTCTTGTATTGCTCCCACGAGATCCCAAGACCTCTGTTTATATTATCATCTGGAACTGATATAACCGCATCGTTTAACGGACTTTCCCAATCATAAACTAGCCCACGAGCTTGATAATTTGCATCATGATAATCTTTAAAAAATTCACAGCCAGGATAGGGCAGACATATTAGATCAAAACTGGAATAGCGTGCAGCGTCTACTTTTTCAGAGGCACTTACACTAAAAGGAAAGAAGAAAATCTTTACGTTCGATGTTATCTTTCATTAAAAGTTTACTTACCAAAGAGAATGCTTGTACTTTCTATTTTCTACCATAATATCAACAATGGACTTAACATTATACATCTTCAAAAGCTTAATATCTAAATTACGGAGTTTATCACAGATCGTTTTCACCTTAGCATCATCATCATATGGCTCAGACCCTGCGGTTTCATCTTCATTGGAGCTCATTTCCAAACCTTCGTCTGGCCACCAGAACTCTTTAACAGAGTTCAGTAACTCATAACCAGCTACATTAGACAAGCCAGTACGATAGCACATCTCAGGTTTACTAGCCAAAGTGGAAGATCGGCAAACGTATTTCCCATTGAATAAAATTACGGGAACAACAAACCGTTGACGACATCTAAAAAAATATCACTTGCCACTTCGCTTCATACTTATAAATGTGCAGCTTAATGGGATTCAGATGGCTGTCTTTCGAATAATATGCCATAGGCCTGAGAATAATTTATTAAAAATTATTTAATTTTGAAAGAAACATCTTACCTGGCAATTTTCGCACCTTCGCACAATTCAGCTATTTTGGAAAGATCTAAAGTGACAGTTTCAACCTCATCTGTGTTCTCAAAAATAGTGGTAACGCTGCGAGGTGATTCCATAATCGGAATTATTTCGGGATATTGAGGACACAACTTTCCAAGTTTGTTATCAAGTTTGACAATACTGTAGTCCTTCTCCAATAGTTTAATTGAGTCACTCAAATATGGACGAGGCTAAAGGAGACAAGTACATATTTTGTAATCTTTTATACCGTAAAAGATCACATGAGACATCACATACAGGGTGACCCACATTTACGCAGTATACTTTCATTAGCGTGAAGTTTTATACATGAACAGACAATTTTGAGGCATCTGCAACTTTTGAAATATTAGTTTGCAACAGAAAAATTTTTCGAAAAATAAATAGCGGATGAATAGTCTACAAATACATAGAAGGAAAAATACATATTTTTGAAATCAGGAAAAAAATTCTATTAGCACGTCCAAAATATATAGGGTGTTCCATTGAATAAAAATATTGTCAAATTTTGAAAGTTCCGTGTTTTATAGTGTCGTATAAAATATGAAATTAAACAACTTTTGTGTTGGACACTTTCATATTTTTTGAAAAATAATCGTTCTACGTGGTGTTAACTTATGAGAAAACACCCCGCATGTTCAAAAATAGAATAAAAACTGCATGACAACATGGTCCCTGAAACTAACCGTTTTCGAATAGTCAAATTATAGAAATTAAAAAAATATATTTTTAACTCGTGTGAAAACATACAAATTTTCTCTAAAACCGTTCACATTCGAACTTTTTACTATTGCCATTTTGTGTAAAAACCAAGAGCCTTTGGAAATCTCCTTTCAAATCGTCCATTTCGACAATGGCGTAGAAGCTAGGGGCAAAATAATTTGTCCAATTGTGTCAAATTTCACTTATCATTCAACGAGCTCCAATCATTGGTAAAATGTGTGCAAAAGTTCCCTTGTCTATCTCAAATCATTTATGAAATATCGAACAAATAAAATTTTAAAACGGAGTTATGCCACTTAAGGTTTGGTCACCCTGCATATCTTGTTCATTGTGTATTTCAACGCCTTTTCTTTTGTGCATATACTCGCACTCACGGAAAAAGTAGAAATATCTCAATTTTGAATAAATGACTGAAAGTTATTGTCTCTATCAAGTTAGAGAATAAAGGTAATTTTTGGTACCATATTCTATCGTAAAAATTAAAAAAAAAAACAATGATTGATAATTAAATTAAAAAACGCCACGATTTTATTCTCTATTAAAACTTAAAATATACCCACTGTCTCGAGCAAAGGTACGTTAAATGAAGGCGTTGAAAAAATGATAGTTGAAATATCGTAAAACAAACTGAACATGTCGGACACACAGAAAAACCTAATGAAATGCACAATCCAGAACCATCAAATTGGAGACAAAGCTGCTAGTTGGTGATAAAAATCTGTAAATATAATTTCTATTTTTTCAAAAAGACAACACCGACAAAGCCTCTGACTTGGAGGAACATTCCAGAAAACCATATAATTTTTTATTTGACCTTTATTGAAGCAACCGGAATGTTATTTTTTACCATGCCCTTTAGCATTCTTTGCCAACTTTTAGTCGCTTAAACTGATAAAAAGCACGATTAGGTATGAAATGAAACAGGCGGAACGTATTTTGAAGACAAAAAGGTAACATTCCGGTGTCTTCTTTAAGATAAATATGAGTAAGATAAATATGAGACATGTGTAATACATACAAAAGTCTTACTCATTGATAATTACCTACTCAGCTAATAACCGTTCTTACCTCTGAAGTATACGTTGCTGTTGCATCGTAGGTGTTGGTCGAGAAGTGTTTGAGAAGTTCGTTTATTTCCTTCTCCGCGTATTCTGGCGTTATATCTTCGATAACCTCCATTTAAAAAAAATTCTAAATATTAGCAATGAAATTTCGAAAATAAATTAATTTTTGGGTAAACCGTTCTGTTCAGCCAACACTAACACATTAAACCACATCAGTGAGTTAGAAATAAAATGTCTTCTCTAGTTCACAGGAATCTCTGAAAAAAAAGACATTGAAATTTAAACAATTTTACTTTACTTTTTCGTTGCAAACAATGTTCGCTAAAGTTATTTTTGAATATTTTTGGTAATTCTTTACAACACTGTTTGCGGCGGCACGCGCACGATACTCGCATACTGGTCAGCCATGTTGCCGAACTGCCACCAAAGTAGAAAATCTCAATGAAAACAAAAAAGTAATTCATTCAAGGTTGAAAACTTACCAGAAATACGTCCACACAGGAAATAGTAGACGACACTAATTAGCTCTCATACATGCGATTGTGCGCGAAATTTAGCCGTAAATTAATTGTGTATGCAAAAAAAAAACTGTTTCCAGTTTTGGTTTTTCCATGATGTCAATGAACGCGTGTGAGTTCTTAATCTGTTAATTCAAAAAGTAGTGAAAATATATCATCTGGAAATTACTAATTATTATCAATTTTATATTAAATAGGCCCGGTTGCACAAAACCAAGTTCAACGATGGTTCAACTGAACCGTCAGTCACCGGTGAACCGGAGTTCAATTTTCACGGGTTGTACCACGCCGATCCGAGCTCGGTTCAGTTGAACTCGACTATTCAATTTTTTCCTAGGGTTGGCACTTCCCAATGTCGGTAAAATGTGGTATATTTGGTTTTCTTTGATTAGCAACTATGTTGTCAGTCCAGCATATTTGAACTGAACCACATCCACATGGACTGATACTGGATTGATTGAAGCGTATAAGCATTAAAATATATTTTTCTTTACTTCAGTAGATTCAGTGAAACCTTTCAATTATGGAAGCCATTACAAAATCCGCCCGGTCTACGAATTTTACGTCGAAATAAGAAACTATTTTGCTGGCTTTAGTCAGAAAGTATAAAGCACATATCGAGTGTAAAAAAACAGATGCAAACCATAATAAAATATATATTTTTCATTTTCTCTACTACGATCTTCGTAACTTCTTTCGATAATATAAATCTAAATATCTAAATTTGAAATTGCGATCGTTTCATTGCAGGAAATGATTTGGTCGCTCCCTATATACTGATGATCTTGTATTTAAAAATGTTCCTAGGAGGTCCCGAACGTCTTCATCGTCTGTTAGTTCATCCGACAGCTCCATTTTCACAAAAAAAATGTTTAATATTTATAAACTATGTTATGTAAACATAAAATTAACACCGTAAACACCTTTAGGTTATGATATGACAGTCTCGGCACTGAACCACGGTTGAACGGCCGATTTCAGTAGTACAACCGAAAATTTTCGTTGAACCACGTTCACCGCTGAACTGTCGGTTATCTTGGATTGTGCAACCGGACCTTAGAGTTAAGTATAATAAATGATTGGTTTACATGAAAAGGTTAAGAAAGTGGTAATATAGTACTGGCAACTGCGCGAAAAAATTTTGACTGGCCCGCAGGCGCAGAGCTGAACCATCATGGCGACCGTTGTTTTGGAAATTGGTGAATTTCAGAGGGTGAAAAGTGATGGGAAACGGCATTCGGTCGAAAAATGTAGAGGAAAAATGTTGTTTGTTGCGAGATTTTCTATAAGGTGAGCATAGTCTTAATCGGCAAAGCGGCGATACTAGTACCAGACCGTGTTGTAAAGAATTACCGTCAGACTATTTTTTATTCTTCAACTCAACTTGCTGCTCATTTTATCAAGTTACTTTGTATTTACAAAAGGTTTACCTTTATTTACCATTAGGAAAACATAAACTATCAGCAGCTATCGACAAAAGTAACTAAAAAAATTAAAAATACACCAAACCACAGAACATCTGTTATGTGCAGCGTTGCCAGACCAAGAACTTCGAAAGCGGTAGAATAGATAAGTAAAAAACGGTGGATTTAAAAAACTTAATTCACATAAAATTAAAATAAAATGACGGAGTTTTATCACAGCTTATATATCATATGGTATACAAGCTGTGGTTTTATTAATTTGTCGAAACTTGTCAAATGAGAGGATAGATGGCAGCATAGCGTCGGGCGTCAGGTGGAAAATTTTTGAAGTTTCTACAACGTAGTGAAACTCCATTATTATATGTTTTTTGTCTTAGGTTTCAACCTTATTGGATCACCAGCCACCTCGAATTATTTGGCTTTATTTATTCAAATATTTTCTACCCTCAGATTTTAGCATTGGGCGGAGTTTGTGTCGGGAGGAGTTGACATCCTTTCATAAATAAGGTTTCTAAAGTATACATGTTGCCTAGTAACTTTGGACCAATGGGAGATCGCGCGGGAATACGTCACCAGTTTGCCAGTTTAAATTATTGAGTCTTTTAACGTTGAATTAGCCGACATTTCTAGAGTTTGGTGCTCGCAATTTTGGGTTTGTTCTCATGATTTAAACGCCCAGAGCGTTTGCATAGTGTACGTTTTAGCTAGCATTTGCATTTTTATTTACAACTTCTGCCTACTAAGTCGTAACCACTTTGGTATTGCAGTTTCGACATCAGATTCGAGGGCTTCATGATGCTGTAGCATCACTTATCTGCAAGTAAGGGATTTTTTTTAGAGAGAGAATTTAAATCTCCAAATACGAAATTCGCCATGAAATATCTCCCCATTTAAATGGATACATCCCAATTAAATTTTTGCTAAAAGCTGGTCCTTTTCTGGCCCTTCCACGAACAAGGATTTATCGGTCTCAACAAGGGACTCGGGAACCGATGCAACTTGAAGTTCAGCCTTGGGTTTCACCAAATCCAACTGATTGTAATTTACGACTTTGAATTTATTTTGATCGGGAGAATAATTTACTTTCAACTTCTTATTGGGAACTGAAGAACTCGTGTTAGCTAAAATACGGCGTCGATGCCGACTGGACAAATCTATAAAATCACATGTTAATTTTTGGTATCTGGGCAAACAGTAGAAAATAGATAAAAACGTATATATCTGTTCCCTTACCTTGAAATACTCAAATCGTGGAAGGACTCTAAATTTCTACTTGTTAACGATGTTTTAAAGTAATAACTGAAAATCCTCAATGCACAAACGAAATGCAAATGAACAAGAACTGGCGTCTGAAAGTACCCAAGAAAAATGACCTGGCCTGGCATTTGAACATATTTTATTGAGCTAAGTTTTTACATCCTTCCTGCTGTTACTTATCTACGAGTACTTATATCTAACATCGTTAGAGTGTTTAACACTATGTAAAAAATGGCGCGGAAGTCTGGGAGAGTGAGTTCTGACACCCTCCTTGGTTGTTGTCCTTCAGCCTTTTCGTTATCTCGTCGTATCGATCATTCTGGCGAAGGACAATTGGAGGAATTTTTGTCCTCGTTTTTTCCGGTTGCTGCTGGGCGGCAGGGGTGGCCTGCTTTTTCTCCCGACTCGACTGCTGGCTTTCTCTGCATGCCAGCTTTGCGCGGGTCCCTCCTTACGCGCTAGCCTGTGGACAAGGAATCCGTATTAGCATTATTGTCGTCCTCAATGGAGGTCATGGGCCTGATTCGCTTTCTCTTTGCCTCTTCCGCCGAGGCCTTGCCTTGGGGGCTGCCGGGGGAGCTGCCGCCTCACTCTCACTGGAGGAGGTTGTGTCCTCCTCCATCTCTTCCTCCTCGTCGTCTATTTTGGCTTCGTGGCGGCTGGCCTCCAAGAACGTTTCCGCTCTTGTCGCACGGTCCATCCAGTAGGCCACCTTTTCATTGGAACACTTAAGTTCCTCTAAGGTTGCCACCAGCGCCTCAAACCTCCTCACGATGTCTTCCGCTGTGGAATTTTATATAATGTTAAAAGTGTGGTTTGCTGGGTTTGGACATTTGCCAGCTTGAGACGAAATAAATTAACTTATTGATCTCTATTTACAATCCTGCATAACCGGAGTAAGAGGATTCTGGCAAAAAAAAACTTTTTCGAGGAAAACAGAAAATATTTTTAAATCGAAGAAAACAAAAGAATGAATAAAAATATATATTAACTAACAAATGGAATAAGACTGCCTGTCAGCACAAAGGCATAAAATGGTTAGTTATTTTATTGACCAAAGTACTGAAACTAAAATGTCTTAAAAGATAATTGCTTTTAATAACAATATAACTAAAATATATCAAACACGCTGTATGTATACAAGTATTTTTTAAAGATATGTCTTGTTCATTTTGCTAGACCTCACTAAGACAGTAACAAAGCAGCAAACTGTTTCTATAGAGGCAAAGGGGCAAATATCTCTACATGCTATGTTGAAGCTGAACGATAACTCGAATTCTCCTAATTGTCCCACCATTACTGAATAACATTTTTTTAAGGCGTATGGAGACTTTTTGATAAAAGTTTTTCGTCCAAATAACATTTAATTTTTAATTGTTCAAACAAATGGTTTCAAATTACTTTTTATATTTTATTATTTTATTTATTAAAGTGCCGATATTTCCTTGAAATATTTTTTCTAATTAAATTGAAACAAAATAGCAAACTAAGAAAGAATACTAAAACATTTCTGGTGAATGGAGACTTTTTTACAGACTATACATCAAACCATGTATGTGTGACACTAATGTCGTGACACTGTGGCCTTTAGTCGTCCAGAATGACACTGTTGTGGACGACATTAATGTTACCGTGTGAACACCAGGTTTTATTGTTAAGTGTCGTTCAACTTATCGCGTCGTAAGAGGCGGGGTGTTGGATGGCGCACATTTGGACACACAGAGCAGCGTCAGATAGTTTGACACACAGAGCGGCATCAACACAAAAGTGTCACACGACGCAGTGTTACCCAAACATAGTTTACGACTTATAACCCTGGAAAGCTTTTCAATGGCATTGTACAATTTACAGCAATATCAGAATTGGCTTTGGGCATCACATACGCTTTGCAATAGAACAATAAATAATTAATAAAAATGCCTTTATTTGCATGTAACCAAAGAGAACTACAAATATTATAAACATTTATTCGGATAATGATAAAATACTAGTAACTAGACATAAATATTGATGAAACGATGTACCTACGTGTTTGCTTTATGTAAAATACTAACATGGCAAATATTAGTAAGAGAAATCTTTCACAAATGAATCAATGTCGATAACAGCATTATAGTCCGAATATTATGGTGATAAACTTATCTGATACATAGTTAGCTGAAACATTTCAAAAATTCTTTGACCATAGTCACATAAAGATACGACTTCACAATCTTGATAAAACATTGAAACTGGAAAAAAACAATACCTGGTTAAATCTGGCATAGCTTCTGTGCTGAGGTGAGGCCAAAAACTGACTGTCTTGTTGAAGAATATACCACTGTAAGGAATAACGTTTTCGATGTCTTCCATTCGATTGTTTATTGTGAAAAAATAAAATTTGTAATTTCTCAAATTGTTAGCTTTACGTCGCATTTCCAGCAACTCTTTAAGTTGGTGCATAATGAGATGTAAATCTCTAGATCCTTCTTCATACAAAAATACAGGTTTCTTTGTAGTGTGCTTTGGAGAAAGTACATAATTATCTCTTTGCAATAAGAACGACTTAGGGAACGTATACATGTTACTTGTCACAATATGAAATTCGGTATTTACAGGAGCGCTTTGTATATTATCATGCAAGTACCTTACACTAGAAAATATTCCGCCTTGGTGAAGAAAACCATAGAAACCAACCAGAAATAAATTAATTATCAACCATATTTTAAAGAAATTTATTGAACAGGTTTTCTTGCTGATGTTATTAGATTGTTCTTCAATAGTAGTTACGGTCCCTAAAGCATTACAATAATTTGGCAAAACACTATCGCCATGAAGGTAAATCAACGGAAATATGAGAGGAATCAGGAATCTCGGTTCTTGATGCGGAAACGTTGATAATACGACAAGCGGAGTAATAAAGCTAAGGATCATCAGCATTTTTATACTTCTGATGGATGGCAGCAGTTGAAGTTTTCCACAAAAACACCTAAAATAAATTGAAATATTAATAGTTGAAATGTTTCTTTGTAGAAGAATGTGGGGAGTTATAGGTATAGCTTACTATACCTACTGCAAATTAATTTCTCTCGTTTTTATGTTTTGTGGGTATTATTTAAATCGCGCTCGATGAATTCATTTTTCTGAAATTAATTTTAAAAGATGGATTAGAATTCTTACACGTACAGGGCGAAAAATTGGTCGCAAGTAGAGCCCTCTTTGGTGAATGAGGAAATTACAACACGTATTTCATTTGTCAACTGAAAATAGGTAACGTTACAAAATTTCAAGTTTCTATCCTTGATGTTTTCAGAATAATTGCAAAAAAACGAATTACAATTACTAGTTTAAACTATTTTTTGTCAACTTTTGGACTTGCAACATTGGCTACGACTTGACGTGTATCGATCATTAGTGCCGTACCTGCATACATTTCAAGTTTCTTCTTTTACTATACCAACCTGATTTTATTTGGAAAAATTATTTGAACGGGAAAAAAACTATATGACTTGACTGTGACTCAGATGACATTTTAAAAATATTTTCTTATTGCTGCTAAACCGAATTATTTCAGAGTGATCACTTGAAGTGTAGATAATGACTTCTAGCATAAAATTAGACCTTCTCGTTGCCATAAATAACCATCAACCTCAGAAAGACATTCTAATTTTTCTTACTTCTCCTTATTTTTGTACTCCTCCTGCCAAAATAGCAGAAAATGTTTTAGATAAAACATTATCAGTTTTTGACGTACTACTCGAATCTGCAGTGAATTGATGTGGTTACTATTTGAAATGATCAAGTTGGCCCCTGCCTAGCCTACAAGAACGAGTTTTATTTCTAACATGACCAAACTTCCATTTGTATGGGATATAGGCTTAAAGCCCGTGTCCCATGCATCCTTTTGTACGATGATACGATGGTCGAAAGTGTTTCTATTGGTTGGAGACGTGTCAATTCGTCCGTCGTCGTACGAATTGACAGATCTCCAACCAATAGAAACACTTTCGTATCATCGTACCATCGTATAAACGGATGCATGGGACACAGGCTTAAGCCATTGACCGGAGATTTTTGTATTTTAGAGCAACTATTCTGAGAGATATTATAACTAAGCATATCTAAAAGCGTATATAATAACAAAATAATTAAAATAGTTTTTAATTACTCGAATGTTGCTAATGCAAATAAAATATAATTTTTGTTTTATAGAAACTAAAATAAAATATTCGTTTTAAACAAACCTGAAAATATTACTTTTAAACTAAATATCACAAAACGCTTTTGGTAACTTAAAAATATAATAATGAAATAATACTGTGCTCTTGTTCTCTAAGATCGTTTTTAGAGTAATTGTTCAATAGTATATTGGCAAGATATGTAATGCATATTTCGAATAAATATTTTTGGTCTATGCCGCATTCCTGACAGTTTTAAATTCGGATAGACACTAAGTGAATAAGAACCGTTTTGAATTTTGATTTGAAATCATTCTTGAAATTATCAAAATCCCCAATATTATCAGCCGCATCCAGTCGTTTTTGTCTTTATTTCCCTGTGCTTTTGATAGATTAATCTTTGTTCTGGTTCGGTTCTTTTAGGCGCAATTTGTTTGGTCAAATATTTGGGTTGGTTTGAAAATATAGATGGGAGAGCATTCGCAGTAAGTCTCGTTCGATCTCTTGCTAATACTAATTGAGAACGGTCCTTCCTTTCTGCTCTTGCTCCCGGATTATAAAACTTTCTTCAAAATGTTTACTGGAAATCACACAAAATTTTGATAATTTGGTATAAAATTTTCCAGTGAATTGTTTGAAGCCATTGCTGCTTTCTTTGATCATCACGAGGGAAATGAAATACTGTAGTATATTCTTCTCCGGTATAGTTAGATTTACATCCAGGCATACAACAACGATCTGGCATGGTTTTTAATCTGGCTTCAAATTAAATCGCCTTTAAATAAAATCGCCGGGTCCTGGCGACTAAATTGTCGAGCGTCAAAAGTCGCCCGTCTGCGGGTGCCCTTAGGCTCTATGTTAAACGTATCCGAAGCAATAGTTGCCGGGTAACTGTATCCTCGTGTAAAAGGGCTCTTAAAGGCTACAAAGTGGTAAATGCTGACCCTAACCAGGGTCAAATTACTGTGTTGGCTAGACTTCCGTTTGTATTATAATAGTTTTGTTTCTGGCGGAGTTACCAGTTAAAAAAATATATCTTACATATACGTTGACAGGGTTGGCTTGATTTTTTTCAAGTGATTTCAATCATGATTTTAATCATGATTTAAATCACCTGATTTTTTTGGAAAAAATTCACGATTTAAATCAAAGTTCATTTTTTCAAGAAACTTTATATATACATATATACATAAATATTTTCACTCTAAAAATATAGAACAGAACATAAATAATTCTAAGAAATGAAAATCAAAATAGAAAACGGTACATGTGAATTTAAAAATTAAATGGTATTAATGGTAAACTCAATAATACTAAAACGGAAATCAATTCTATTTCTTTTCATTTTCGTTATAAAGTCTGAAGAGGAACACTAATTTCCCTCCTTTTTCGATTCCCAATCTGTTCCTGATATCCGAATGAACAAATCCGAATGTG